CATGTGAAAAACATAGTGGAATTAGGCGCTCCCTACTTTTATAGTCATATGATAGCATATTATGACGTATTGACACCAAGAAGAATGACAAAGCTATTTTTGTTATTATAATAATGACTTAATTTCTTTTTCTAGTTTAAAAGAATTACCGACTTTCCTTGATCTACATGTCTTTTTTAAATCGTCTTTTTTTATAAAGTGACACACATTTTACTTGTTTTCTTTATCTGACCATTTTTATTTGTCAAAGTTTGACAATCAAAAAATTAACACGTACGATCAATTTAACCAAATTAAACAAAACGTGAAGATGATTGGCAAACTTTGTAATTCGCGTTCATATGTTGATAAAATTTTCATCAACGGAATTCTAGAATCCTAAAAGGAAAAAATTTACCAGATGTGTGTAAGAATGTGTTGTAAGAATGTGAATAATTGAACTTAGAAATCCAATTTTGATGAATAATACTATCGGAAATTCGGGGAATAGCTGAATATTCGGACATGTTACTTCTTTTTATCCGATTACGGTAGTTTTTTAAAAAAAAATTATTGGAAAGCTTAATATATTTTTTGTGTTGATCATTAGCAAATTTTGATAATTATTTTTCGCAAATAAAAAATAGATTTTTTTTTTTTCGATAACATAGGTAATTTTTTCGAGAATATAATTTTTCGGCTAGTACTAATTATCCGGCCGAAAAAAACTGTCGGAATTATAATTACCGAAAGTTGCGATGATCACATCACGTGCGCGATTTGGAATTATTTGGATCCATGGTTCCGAACATACGTCATCAGGCACATTCTAGGATTATCTGGATACGTATGACAAATTCAATATAAACTTTGTATGACAGTATATAAAAAAAATTTGTTTCACAAAAATTTGTTCTACGTACAATTAACATTTCGACTATTTTATTGGCTTCAAGAATGCTTTCTACATTATAAATTATTTTAATTTTCTTAAAAAGTTAACATTTTAAGCAATTTATCATTGTTGTGAATAGGAACATTCGGAAAATGAATACCTGGTTGGTGCGCCATAGTGGCTGAATAGGAATTAGGTTATCCGAAAAACTAGAATGATACAGTAACTCACCAACCTGTACGAACGTACATATTTTCCGGATGCAAACATGTCTGTAGATTTTTTTCAATGTCAATACCAAATTGATAAATTTTCAGCTGAGGTTCTAAAATTCCGATACATAAAGATCGTACAGATTGGATTGTTGTGTAATAGGGAACCGGATTCATGATCAACGAATCGCATATAGATTACCATATAAGATATTCAATGATTGTATAATATCCGGATATTTAAGATAAATAAAATCCGGATTTTCACTATTGAGTTTCTCTTGTATAACGAGTCTAATGCATTACAGATATGGTTGGTCAATTATTAGTAATCCTTAACAATCATTAGTGTTTATTCTCAACGCAAGTATCGAGCATGTGACGTAACACTCAGTTCTGTACCCAAGCGTATTATAGATTAAATCATAACTAAATATGTATTTGTAATTATGATTAATTATACATTAGCAAAAGTTGAAAATATTAATCATAATTCCTATATGGTTAAATAGTAACAAATTTTTGATGAATTTATTTCAAAACTATTAATTTTTTTTTTTTTTTGAATTAAATGAAACTTTTTCTCGATTATCATTTTTTACTTTATAAATTATATTCTATAGACATTTTGTTTCTGCATAATTAATTTTACCGAAAGTGTTTATGCTTGATAAGGTTTAATCTTAAAATAGAGGTGCGCCATTATGACGCCAGAATTTTTTTATCGCGTATAGTACGTACGCACGTACAGTACAGTGTGTATAATTGTAAAGCAGAAAGTATATATGGCGTACACAATGCCTATCGTAAATATATTGTGTACTAATGTATTAAATAATCTATGTACTTGAAAAAAAAAACTTTATTAGAAATACAAGTTAATAGATATGAATACTTTTATAATCTGTTCTAGAATGTTTTATGCACAACTTTGCGCACGTACGTACGTACGTATGTACTGTACGTACGTACGTATGTACTGTACGTACGTACGTATGTACTGTACGTATGTACTGTACGTATTGACGTGGCGTATCTCTAGTCGAAAAATACTCTTGTATCATGCTTGATTTTCATATTTTACGCGGAAATTGAAATTGCTTATTCATATTAATTAATTATTAGAGAATATCATTATTTTTAAAATACTTTCAATATAGATCTCGGTGTCCAATCTTATGTAATATCTTCTCGGTGTTGGTGAAAAAGAACTTTTTCAGAACCATCAATTCAGCAGTATAAGATTACCTATATTTGATGACAGTTAATTAATCCATTTATATTATTTATTTTTAATTAATCCATTTATATTATTTATTTTTAATCAATTTCAAAAGTATAAAGGTTACCTTTATTTGATGACTATTAATTAATCCATTTATATTATTCATTATCTAATCAATTCAAAAAGTTTCATTCCTCTGAAACAATTTCACACAAAGAATCTAAATCAAACAGTAATCAATTGTTCTTTAAATAGATAACAATATATTTTTTAAAATCTTTTGTTATTCGGTAAAGCTCGAATTGTTTAACAACTTTGGCAATTACATTCTGTGAATGTACTAATCAAACTATCAAAAGGTAAAAAAAAAGGTAGCTTACTAATAAATATTAATCATTGCAGTTATGTCAAAAAATGTCGGTGCCATGTGAATTTTTCTTGCCGCGGTAATTTAAAAATTTACGTAATCTGTTAATAATGATCTTTTGAGCATGACGCAATAGTGTCTGGTGATTTTGAAATACAGAAAATATCGGAATTTTACGATATGTAACACATATCTAAGCCACAGGTATTATCGGGGTAACTGTCATACAACAAAAAACTGATAACCCGAAAATTTGGCAAATCAATTATATGCATTATTCTGTTATTGAATATATATCTATAATAAGAATAAGAAAGTTTCAAAAAAAACCGGCCTTTCCATATTCTTTTCCATATTCTTTTCCATATCAAGCAGAAATTTAGAACCGGCCTAAACCCTAATTAATTACTAGTGACAAGACCAGATTGCTTCAAGCTATTTCAAGTTACTCGGATTTAAGTACGAGTATATATAACTTTCCTTTATTTTTATTTTATATTATAACAAGCCCAACTCTTTTTATTATAACTCAGATCCTTTTTCGAAGACTTTATGGTCTTCCATAGTCATTCTTTTTTATTTCATCAATAATTCATGATCTTTCCCACCACACACATTGGAGATTATTTTTGAACTCGGACCATGATGTAATGACATTCTGGTTTGGATTTAAAAATGATCCACAGTTTATAAACGAGGATCTTTCATGACGATCGGAAAATTATGATGTTAATAGATTGTCTAAGATTTGACTGGTTACGAAATATATTGATCTTCTGATTTTCTTTTTATGATGTAAATAAAAAATTTTGACTTTTAATAAGATATATTGTAAATTTTTATTAACGGAATAAAAAAATTTAGTTGATTGTCGTATTCTTGATTTAACCGGTTTGTATAATGATCATTGTGGCTGTTAGAACCCTTCCCTTAAATATTTATTAAAAAACTACCGTATTTAGTTAGCCGAATTCTTTTTCTCAATTTCATATTTTGAGTAAAATAATTTCATTCCGAAAATACTGAATAGTTTCTGAAAATTAAAACTCAACTTACATACAGTACATATAGTATGTTTCTTATACATCCATGTATCACTAATTACTAATTACGTAACGTTACTTATCGTTTTTGGTTTTATCGCTTGTTATAAATTAAGGAGTTCTTTTTTAGTTGTATAAGACCATTTTTTATTTTTTATTTTTTTTCATATTATTATTCATTCAAAGTTGGACAGATAATGTCATTCCTTTTTTGATGAATTAGAATTTCAAAAAAATCAGCAAAGTTATTTTATTATAATGGTGTTTATTATTCATAGAATAAAAATAGTCAAATTTTTTATTTCGTAATATTGTTTTCTATAATACTTTGTGATATTCCGGTTATTATAAAAAAGGAATCAACGGAATTACTTGGAAAACTTTCGTAAATTGAATTATTTATATGTGAATAAAATGTTAAGCTATAGTTAGTATACTGTTAAAGCTAGAAATTCTTACTGCGTATAAAACCAGTTGACGGTTTATAGAAATCAAGACTCTATTAGTGGCGCAGTGAATTCCGGAAAAACGGAGTCTACCGAGTCAGTTTGTAATTCTTTTTTACTGTAAGAACGCAGCACGTTATATCATATCGTAGATCGAGTGTAGAGTAAATTTATATTATTCATATTTAAAATTTGACAATAGGAATATATTATCATATAAGGAAAAAAGCTACTATATATTGATATCATTAAAGCGTTAAAATAAGATATATTAGTGTATTAGGTAGTTCATAACATTGTGTATCCGAGTTAATAATAACATCAAACAGTTAAACAAATCATCTAGCATTTGCTCCGGACTATTAGTAATCGGTAAGTTTATATCATAAAACTTTGCTGTGCATTACTCATGATTTAAATCTTTCTCTTTCTTTGATATTTCTTTTTTTTCAATATCTTTGCATATTTAACTTTCAGGAGAGAGGAACTTTTATTGTTCATGTTCGCTAAAAAAAAAATGTGATACATATCATCTTTTCCTATTTTCCGTTCAAATTTATCTGTACCTTAATAGTTATTTCTTTTTTTATCTACCATTTTTTTTATACACTTTAACAAAATTGAATTTTAATGATCATTGAGATCGCCGAATTTGGAACTAATTCGGTAAATTGTTACCGTATACTACAGTACTATGTCAATTTATGTATAAATTATTCCGAATACACCCAAAACTTATATAAATATGCCATTTTTTTTCTTCCTTACCTTTAATTTTTCACATTAAAAAATTTTATATTTATTAAAAATTTGATTTGATTTCGCAAAATAAAATGGCTGCTTATATTCCAAATTATACTGATTACTTTAACATTAATCACTACAACTACAACTACAATCCTGGTATCCCTTGTCTCATACAAAACATACAAACTGGCATGCCAAGTCAAGGTAGTCAACCTAAAAAGCATTCAGATCCTGAGAAAAAAACTCGATTTTATGTAAAGCAAGCGTGTACAAATTGTCGTGCTAAAAAAGAAAAGTGTTCAGGAGAAGAAAAGTGTTCAAATTGCATTAGACGAAATAAGGAGTGTATATACGTTAGTTCTGGCAAGAAACGTGGGCCTAAACCTAAGGAACCGCTTAAGCCGACACTGTCTAATATATTGAATTAATATGAACTTGAAATATGGACTTTTTAAAAGATTTACTTTTGCTATAATTTTTTTCAAAAAAATAAGAAAAAAAATCAACAGGACATTTACGTTCTTTTTAGAATAGATAAAATCAGATACGTTATTACTCTGTATATATTCCTTATTTCGTTTTTTTCACGGTTTTTTTTTTATTTATTTTTCTTTAATAAGCATAATATTTCTTATATGGCATTTACTTTTATAGAATTAACATATTAGGCACCTCATTTACAAAATTAAGTTTTTTTTTCAAATGAAAGATTTTTTACGGAATATTATGATTTTTTTTTTGTTCGGAAAATTAGATATACATGTCTAATTTTCATTGTCAATAGTTTTTACACTGTCAGACATTGCAACATAAACTTTTAATAAAAATTGCCCTAAGTTATTAAATGAAGTTACTCTTTTAAAATGTATAGTGAAAAATGCTTAATAAAAATTCATAATTAGCTCTTTGTGAACGTAAAAGATAACGATAATGCTGTAATGGAAACAACCGTAAAGAAAATTTCATTATAGTACGTAATCGATCTACATACTGGTTACTATATTAAGTGATAAAGCAATCCGGTATATCCGATATATCCGATATGTATGTACGTACGTATTGCATACGTATGTACTGTACGTATGTACTGTACGTACATACGTAACTCATGTATCAGATAGATCATTGCCCAGTATTAATTTTACCAAATTTTGATTTACAAAGGATTATTTATAGATTACGATACATGGAATTCTTTTATGTAATTGATATTAAATCATTGGAGGTATGTAAAAAATTCTATAGCTAATATGGAATAATATGATTTCAGAAATTAGTACATTACCAAAAACTGAAAAAATTTTTTTTAGATATATTTACCATAGCGAGGTATAAAATGAAAGTAGAGGTCAATAATTTTGTCGATTAAATACTGTAATTAGCATTTGGAACAAAAAGTGTTTCTTTATTTCTAAATCAATTAGAGTATAAGTGATACCGTAAAAAAATTCTTGTTTATTTTTGTTGATCTTAAAATGGTATAATAAAAATTATAATATATATCGATATGCAATTATAAGTCACTACAAATCTGTCGGAATTTCATCATAGCAAATCTCCGCTATAGCATTTTTTGTATAATAATAAAAATTTTTTAGATTGTTCCGAGTATTACTCTGTAGTAAGATGATTTGCCATAATTAGTATGAATTATAAGCAGTGTATATGATTTGATTGGTATTAGACTCCAATGATCATGGAGCAAATGTACAAAAAATTCCGCAAAGCAATATTCAAAATATTCCAACACCTTTTATATTGGGATATTAGGCTTTAGAATGCAAATACTGTAATGCAAAAGTAAGAATCAATTTTGTTTAAACATACGATGGTTTTTTTTTTTTAAAAAAAGAAGACTATTTAAAAATTCAGAGCTCGTATTTTATTTATAATGATTTTTATTATCAATTACGGTTAAAATTTCATTAGGATGTCTCAAATAATTCCCATTACGTTTCTCTTACTTGATAATCGCAAGTACAAATTCAGTTTTCAAAGCTCCTTTATTCTATTGATATTATACAAAAAACTCATACAAATCAGGTATAAATTCTGGTATAAATTCTGGTCATAAAACTTTTTTAGATAATAATATTTAATAATGGTATTGTTGTTAATCATGATCTTTATTTAATATTCAAAAAATCTATATTGTTGCTGCCAAAAACCCTGAGAATTTTTCCAAATAATTTATCCTATGAATATTTACTGTAAGGGTTAGCTTTTTGTTGTTAATTGATCGATACTAATTTTTTTTTTTTTTTTTTTTTTTTTTTTTTTTAGCTTATTTTAACTTGAAAACTCTCAGGTGTCCTTGAATTAGTTACGTTAATTACGTTATCCTTATACTTTTTAAAAAATATACAATTGATTCGATATTATATTAAAAAATATCATCTTATAAGTTATGATATATATGATATTTATTAGTAGCGACTGGACTCATCTCAACTCGTGATTCACAAATTAAACTCTGAATAATACTCGAATCATGTGATTGATTTCGAATTATTCAATCTATAAAAGCGGATTTGAGTACCGAACAACTGCGGACTCACGAGTCCGATAACTAAGCTACGATAATTACTATTAGGAATGGACTTAGGGATGGACTCATAGGCAGTATTATTTTTCACTGTGTGGACTGTGCGCAGCAAACATTTTCTCTAGTTTTTATTTGCTGCACAGAAAATGTTTATGAATTGTACAGTAATTGAAAATCAACACTGCTCATACGTCACACCGTCAGCTGCGCTGCACAATTTATAGTTTGAATAATTCGGACTAGATCATAATGCTGGTTTGCGTTATTATGCGCAGCTTGCGCATGAATTTGGAAAATTTAACAATTTGCTCATCCAACTACTAATTTATTTTTATGTATGTACGTATTACAAGTATGTGTTTCAAATTTTTTATTAAGTTTAATTCTCTTGTTGTTAATTAAAGTTTAAGGAATTTGGTTCACCGAAAATCAATAATAATTCCAATCGTTATACCAAATTTAAGTCAATAATAATGTTTATCATGACTATAGGTAGACACATTTACATCACTATCGTATTTTTCATATTAAAAACTGGTTTGTATAACCATTTTATATTAAATTAGACATTTTTTTTGAAATACTTATTTATCATTGACAATAGTTATCAATGATATACGTACGTATACTGGCCATGCATGATATCATAAATGATTTCAGCCATATTCACACGCTGTTTGATGATGGTCATAATCAAAAATGTTCGTTTATTTCATGTGAGTTTTCTTTTTTACAAATCAATATTCCTATTATTATGTTTATATTAGATCATATTAAATTCCATATTTTGTTCCTACTACATCTCTAAAGAACATTCTAGTTAAGAACATTCTAGTTAAGAGCTTTCTAAATAGATTTAAACAAAATAATCTAAATTAATAAATTTACCTATTGTTATTATTAATGATTAGGCTGATGTTCGTCACAAAGTTGCAGTTACATCATTACTATTATGCACAATACGGCAAATGTAACGCTGGTGTTAATTATCATTAAATTTGAGAAACTTTTAAATATTACCTTTGTCATTTGGCGTTTTCACTATCTGCACTATCTGTCAGCACAATGATATTGATAAATAGTAATTTGAACAGCACAATGACATTGGTGGATAGTAGTTTGAGCAGCACAATGACATTGATGGATAGTAGTTTGAGCAGCACAATGACATTGGTGGATAGTAGTTTGAGCAGCATAATGACATTAATACAGTAGATAGGAGTTGGAACAGCGAGATTCTATAGTCTTGTAGATTGTGAATGTGTTCAAAGACGATGCTAAATTGAGAAAGAAATTTAAGCACTGATGCATGTTACACTACCAGATAACACCAGCCGAATGCCACATGATCCCTATATAGATTCTTTTTCATTTACCAAAAATATAAAAACGTACGTACGTACGTATTTGTGTTGGAATTATTTTCGCGCCATTGTTGCACGAACTTTTGTAGAAGACCAAAAAAGTTAATACTTTACTTTTTTTGATTTAAACCGACTCGGTGCTAATTATAATAAGATCCTGGCATTAAATTTAATGAGAATCTCCAATTTAAATAAAGTTAAGACTTGGGATTCAACAATACTTCCTATCTTAACAAGGCGACTGATTATTCTGCGGAGATTGTGCCGTTATTTGTTTTGACTTAAGAAGTTCAACAAAGCATTGCAATATCTATTAATTCATATTCATTCAAACCCACAAGGAAAATTAAGACAATGCAATCCTTCTGCAGAAATTTGTGTCTTCTACCTGTAAATCTGTTACACATATGTTCAATTACGTACGTACAACATTTATGACAACCACAAAAATTCCAAAATTCCGTCAATGATACAAATTAATCTATATGGATTTCTATAAATAGGTATGACAGCATTGTGTAAGTTCATCATTATATACTTTTTTAAAAAAAATTGTACATACGTACTCTCTGTTCGAAGACATTGTAACATACTGGTTACCTAACTTTAATTAATCTACAAAAACTGTAATAATTTAACGTTTCCATCAAACTCCGATACATTATCTCCGATCATGTATCATATTGTAATGCTGTATATGGTATTATTCGCTACATCATGATGCAGCTGCAGTCAAAGACCCCATAAAAGACAAAATTATATCTTTTTTTATTATATAAGATCACACATGCTTTCATTCGGCTCTATTATTGATCATTAAGATCTTTATTCAGGTTACTATTTTCTTTTAACGTTAATGAACATTTTGACTATAGTTGATGTCCAAATTAATTTACAGAATAATGCTACCACATTTTTTTTTGGCCGCGGAAGTAATACCGCAATGCTGCATTATATGCTATAAGATCATATTAGGTCTGTAAGTAACAAAATCATACACGTTACATCTTGTATATAGCAAAAAATTCTTCTATTGTATACACTTTTATGATCAAAAAAAAGCCAATACGTTCTATAATTTTAATAACAACTGTGTACTAAACCGTTAATAAAAAAAAATAAATATTTTTATTTGGTTTATTGGAATGCTTAGTGAATCATTGGCAATCCAAATAACATTTAGATAAAATTGTTATGAGTTATTGAAGTTTCTAAAAATATAAAAATAATCACTATCATTATGACGCTATTTCACTTTGTTTAAATCTGTGTCGGCATTTTCCCGCTCAAAAAAAAAAAAAAAGAGCCAATTCGGCAAAGCTTATATGTTTTTTTTAGGTGGCCAATTACCGAAATGAGCAAACAAATTTAGTTGACCGATAAATTGAAATGTTGGAATTTGGACTTCTAGTGTCCATGTCCATACCTTCTTTGCCGAAAGTTTTGGAATATTTTCGAATTTTTCCTAATTTTGGCCTCTTTATATCGGGGTATTTCGTAACAATAGGCTCACGTGTTT